GTTGCCCTTGCCTTCCGCATGTTTCTGTTCTTGCATACCCCTCACACGTTTCGTGGCCCCATACGGAGCTCCACCGAGAACGCCAGTGGCTGCGTTCGCATGACACCACCGCGCCCATGTTAGCACGCTTCTCTTACGCTTCGTGGCCCCGTGGGTCTCCACCGAAACACTCAGTGGCTGCGCGCGCATGGCACCACCGCACCGATTTCAGCACGCCGCCCGCATGTTTCGTGGGGTGCGCTCGCATGACACCACCGCGCCCATTTCAGCACGCCCTTCACACGCTTCGTGACCCCATGGGGAGCTCCTTGAAGGCCCCAGTGGCTGCGCTCGCATGACACCGCGCCCATGTTGGCACACCCCTCCGCATGACACCACCGCACCCATGCCGTCACACCCCTCACGTTTCGCGGCCCCATGGGGGGCTCCACCGAAGGCGCCACTGGATGCGCTCGCATGACACCACCGCACCATTTTCGGCGCACCCTTCACACGCTTCGTGGCCCCATGGGCGGCTCCACCGACAGCCCCAGTGGCGGCGCTCGCATGACACCACCGCGCCCATTTTGGCAGACCTCTCACACGCTTCGTGGCCCCATGGGGGGTCCCACCGCAGGCCCCAATGGGTGCGCTCGCATGACGCCACCGCGCCCATGTTGGCACACCCCTCACATGTTTCGTGGCCCAATGGGGGGTTCCACCGAAGGTCCCAGCGGCTGCGCTCGCATGAAACCACCGCGCATATGTTGGCACGCCACTCGCACGTTTCGTGGCCCCATAAGGAGCTAAGGCCCCAGTGGCGACGCTCGCATGACACCACCGCGCCCTTTTTTTCGGCACACCCCTCACACGTCACGTGGCCCCAAAACGATATCGATCAAGGGCCCCAGTGGCTGCGCTCGGATGGCACCCCCGCGCCCACTCCAGCACACCCCTCGCAAGTTTCGTGGCCCCATGGGAACTCCACCGAAGGCGCCATTGGCTGCGCTCGCATGACACCACCGCGCCATTTTCGGCATCCCCCTCACGCGCTTCGTGGCCCCATGGGGGGCTCCACCGAAGGCCACGATGGCTGTGTTCGCATGACTCAACCGCGCCCTTTTTTGGCACACCCCTCACACGTTTCATATCCCATGAGGAGCACCACCGAAGGCCCCACTGGCTGCGTTCCCACGGCAACCCCGCACCCGTTACAACACGCCCCTCACATGTTTCGTGATCCCATAGAGAACCGCACCGAAGGCCCCAGTGGCTTCGCTCGCATGACACCACTGCGCAAATGTTGGCACACCCCTCGCATGTGTCGTGGCCCAATGGGGGATTCCACCGATGGCCCCACTGGCTGCGCTCGGATGGCGCCACCGCACCCATGTCAGCATGCGCTTCACACGCTTCGTGGCCCCATGGGGGGCTCTACCGAAGGCCTCAATGGCGGCGCTCGCATGACACCACCGCGCCCATTTTCGGCACACCCCTCACATGTCTCGTGTCCCATGAGGAACTCCACCGATGACGATACCAACAATTGTGTTATTCACAGCTGTATATGGTTGGGTCCTTTGCAAAGATATGTTTTGTATGTTTTCGGGGCACTTGATTTGGAAATTCTCACGAAAGCATTTCGGCATGTGCGCGTGCGCATGTCGTTCCTTTGTTTTCAAGTTTTTTGACAACTCATTTTTTCGATGAACGAGAGTGCGCGCATAGTATTCGTTGTAGAGGATAGCGGGGGCGATGCCAGTTTTCTTGAGAAAGTATGAATTCATATCTAGGGTGGACGATCGGGCAAAAACGATGGGGCACAATCGTATGTAAACTGCAGTACGAATAGGGTAACCCTTGAGTTCCTGGACTCGCACAATCAACATTGCGACCAAAACTGCGGTGGCGACGGGCCGCGGTGACGGGTGGCTACGGGTCACCACAAGCGGGCAAAATCGGCGTACAGGCCCAGATGGGCGGCGGCGACGGGCCACCACAAGCTGGGTGGACTGGCGCACAGGCGCAGACGGGCGGCGGCGACGGGCAGCGACGGGCCACCCTTAGGCTGGACAGGCGCACAGATCCGGTTCCTCATGAGAGAAGCAAGAACCCGTAAGTGCAAACATTTATGTGGGGAATCGGGACAAAGTGGTCGCGGGGCGTCCGCGCATGATCCAGACTTTGTTGCACAGTGCATGTTTGCGTTTCTTTGCAAGGGATGGTTGGGAGCAGTTCGCGTTGCACACGGCAGGCAATACGCCGGACTCCTGCCGTCCATGTCAAAACCAATGCAAAGTGATCGTGGGGCGTCTGCGCATGATCCAGATTTTGACGAAGGTACAAGAGAACTCGCTATACGATCTACTTACAGAGGGCTGGTGGCATTGCAAGCATAAGAACGATGATGATGAGGCTGAGAAGGATGAGAATAATGAGGATGACGACGACGACGATGATGGTGATGATGACGACGACGATGCTGATACTATGATGATGATGATGCTGACGATTGTATTGATGATGGCGCTCATAATGATCATAGGAATGCTGCTAATACTAATGATGATGATGCCGATGCCAATGATGGTGATGGTGGAGGTGGTGATGATGCTGATGACGATGCTGATGAGGATGCTGAGGAGGAGTGTGATGTTGAGGATGAGGATGATGAGGATGAGGATGAGGATGATGATGATGAATTCTGCTGATGATGATCATGATGCTGAGGTTGATGATGGGGATGATGCTGCTGCTGATGATGATGAGGTTGATGATGATGCTGATGATGATGATGATGCTGATGCTGAGGATGCTGATGATGATGCTACTGCTTCTGCTGCTGCTACTGCTGCTGCTGATGGTGCTGATGCTGATGATGATGATGAGGATGATGATGAGGATGAGGATGAGGATGAGGAGGAGGAGGAGGAGGAGGAGGAGGAGGAGGAGGAGAGGAGGAGGAGGCGGAGGAGGATGATGCTGGCTGTGATGATGATGGCTGATGATGATGATGCGGATGATGATGATGGATGATGATGCTGAGAGTAGGAGGAGGAAGGAGGAGAGGAGGAGGAGGAGGAGGAGGTGGAGGAGGAGGAAGAGGAGGAGGATGAGGCGGATAGTGGATAGTGGATAATGGAAGATTGGTGCGCTCTCGCCATCATACCCCACCCCACCATCCCTTACCATGGAACTTTGATTCATCCCTATTCGCAGAGGCGAACGTTGAAGATGGCAGGGGTCCCGAATGATCAACTTTGCCCGGGAGTGTCCCGAGATCTAGAGATGGGAGGGCCATTAAGGGGAGATTGGGAGGGGCATGAAGGAGGCGGAGGTGTGGAGAAGAGAAGGGTAGCGTTGACGGGCGGCTAAAGTTCGGACTGAGGACGGCGACGAGGAAGGCAAAACGGATAAATCTCATGAGGGGGATGAAAGGGGAAAAAGGACCGCGGGGAGGAGTTGGACGAATAGGATGGGGATACAACGTATGAGGCGGAGGAGGAGGAAGAGGAGGAGGAGGAGGAGGAGGAGGAGGAGGAAAAGGAGGAAGAGAATGAGGAAGAGGAGGAGGGGGAAGGGGAGGATGATGAACACGACGAAGACGGACAGGAAGGGAGGAGGGACGAGGTCGCCGCCATTCTTATTGATTTCCAGGGAAAGAATCCAGGCCATGGGGGGCCTCTTGGGGTGCTCGAGGCTTGAGGATCAAGGATTGAGTTTTTTCGGCGCTGTCGGACCTTTCCGGACCGCGTGGAGCGCCCTTGTGGCCAAGGCTTCTCAGGAGGAGGAGGAGGAGGAGGAGGAGGAGGAGGAGGAGGAGGAGAGTGCAGTTCCGTTTGACAGAAGCTCCATGGTAATACGTGAGTGTGGCAGGCGCGCTGCAGCGGGCACACCGCACCTGGCTGATGTAAGGATGCGGCGATTCGGCGAGAGCGACGCTCTGTTGGACGGAGGCTCCGTGTACATCTTTTCGGGGGTGGACAGAACCCCCAACAGTGACACGTCGATTAGTGAATTGTCCTTTTTCGGTTTTCGAGAGGGCGCCGCGGCCGTTATTTTCCAGGCTTGCGCCCGCCAGGTTTGGGCCTCAGGTCGTTTTCACTAAACCACGTTTTACTAAAGGGAGGTCTGTCCATCCCCGATCTTTATGGAGGCAACCGCTGCATCGAGGGCTGCATCTGGTGCAAGAGCACGTCCGGCGCTACGCCGATAGCGTCGTCCACTGGACGTCAACTACATGGACATTCCGTAACGCGGCAAACGTGTCAGCGGGGTCATTTTTTTTTTGACGATGCAAGCAAACATACGGCCAACGATGGGGCGGGAGCGACGTTCTGTTGGACGGGGGCTCCGTGGATTTTATAGTGCGGGTAACGCTGTTGCCAGGGCACAACTTTTCAGAGGCGGGCCAAGTTCCGAGTTTCAACGCATATCGAGCATCATTTCGGGGCGATCATGTGTGCGTGTGTGTGTGCTTGTGTGAAACACAGGATGCGAGATGGGGGGGGGCAAGCAATCACAGTGCCTGGGAGAAGTGTCCACGCTGTGCTTGTAGGGTTGTAGCGAGGGCCGAGAAGACGGGAGAACGAGGCCACCGAGAGGTGATCCGGTGCTGCGTTGCTCGCCGGATGCCCACGCCCCCTTTCCTTGTTCTCCTCGCCCTGTCTCCACATGATGCGCTGGAAAAGAGAAAACGGGAGGACGAGGACGAGAAAGATCGGGGGTGGACAGAACCCCCAACAGTGACACGTCGATTAGTGAATTGTCCGTTTTCGGTTCTCGAGAGGGCGCCGCGGCCGTTATTTTCCAGGCTTGCGCCCGCCAGGTTTGGGCCTCAGGTCGTTTTCACTAAACCACGTTCTATTAAAGGGGGGTCTGTCCATCCACGATCCTCACCCTGTCTCCACATGATGTGCTGGAAAAGAAGACACGGGAGGACGAGGACGAGCAAGAGGAGGAGGAGGAGGCCCTGGCCCAGTCCCACCCGTCGGTGCGCCCCCCCGACGCCCGCGGCTCAG